ATATCACTCGAAAACTCCTAAACCTGCAACTAAGTGTTGGTATTGTGGTGCATGGCATTTCTCAAGATTTTGCCGGTTTAGAAATCATAGATGCACTATATGCAATAAAGTTGGCCATAAAGAATTAGTCTACCGAACTAGAGAAAGTTTAAGATCAAAACGAACCAGACATCCGCACCAGTACCGAAATAAGTATATAAACAGCGTATATTCTACACTGGCTCTAAGCGTAGCGAATAAAAGAAGATATGTGGAATTAATTGTTAATGGTGTTCATATTCGATTGCAACTGGACACAGCGTCAGATATCACACTAATCTCGAAACGAACTTGGTATTTAATTGGGTGTCCGAAAGTATTACCAACAGAGCACACTGCACGGAATGCGTCCGGAGATATATTGAAACTTGTGGGAATGATAAAATGCTCTGTTAAATTCCGAGGTAATTACTTTACAGGAAATTGTTACTTAACAAACAGACATGAGTTAGACCTTATTGGTATAGACTGGATAGATAAACTAAATTTATGGGACGTACCATTAAATGAAATATGCACAATGAAAAGCGCAAATAATCCTAGAGATCCACCCACAGTTCATGTAACCAAGAAAGTCGTAACGACAGAAGATCTTTTGCAGAAACATAAAAACTTGTTCCAGAATAAATTGGGATGCTGCACAATTGAGAAGGCAAAATTATACCTACGACAGGATGTAAAACCTGTTTTCCGTCCAAAGCGTCAAGTTCCATATGCAGCTATTGACAAAGTCGACAAAGAATTAGACCGACTAGAGAAACTCGGTGTCATACAACCTGTTAATTATTCGGCATGGGCAGCACCAATTGTAGTAGTTCAGAAAGCGAGCGGAGCTATTCGCCTTTGTGCAGATTTTTCAACAGGATTAAATGACGTTTTACAAAATCATTCATACCCATTACCTTTGCCAGAGGATTTATTTATTAAACTAAACGGTGGACGTTATTTTTCTAAACTTGATTTGTCTGAAGCTTACTTACAGGTGGAAGTTGACGAAGATTCAAAGGAGTTATTAACCATTAATACCCACCGTGGACTTTATCGATTTAACCGATTACCGTTTGATGTTAAGCCAGCTCCAGCAATTTTCCAGCAGATAATGGATACCATTTTGTCTAACGTCGAAGGTGTAGCAGTTTACTTGGATGATATTATAGTTGTTGGCTCTTCCGCGCAGGAATTAATGCGTCGATTAGATGTGGTGCTTACTAAAATATCACAAGCTGGGTTTCAGTTACAAAAAGAAAAGTGTGAATTTCTGCTCGAGTCTGTTAAATACCTGGGATATATATTTGATAAAGATGGTCGTCGACCGGATCCAGACAATATAAATGCTATCAAAAATATGCCCAGACCGACTGAGGTTACAACCCTTCGTTCATTCTTGGGGATGATTGGTTATTATAGTATGTTCGTACCCCAAATGTATAAATTGCGACAACCATTAAATCAACTCTTGATGTCTAATACAACATGGCACTGGACAAAAGAATGCCAAGATTCTTTCGATGAAATAAAAAGGATTTTATCTTCTAAACTGTTGCTGACTCATTATAATCCAAAGCTTGAAATAATTGTAGCCGCCGATGCTTCAAACGATGGAATTGGAGCCGTTATCAGTCATCGTTTTCCTGATGGTAAAGAAAAGCCAATTGCTCATGCATCCCGAACTCTTAACTCAGCCGAGCGAAAATATAGTCAGATTGAGAAGGAAGGATTAGCTTTGGTTTTTGCAGTAAAGAAATTTCATAAAATGATTTATGGTCGTCGATTTACGCTTTTAACAGACCACAAGCCGCTTTTATCTATATTTGGATCGAAGTCAGGTATTCCTGCTTATACAGCGAATCGATTACAACGCTGGGCTATTACGTTGCTTGCTTATGATTTACAAATCCTATATAAATCAACTGAAAAGTTTGGACAAGCTGATGCTTTATCTCGATTAATTGCGAATCAGAAGCAGGGAAGTGAAGATTCTATTATCGCAACGATATCGTTGGAAAATGATATTCACCATATACTGCAAGTTGCCATAAAAGCAACACCATTATCCTCTGAAGATATTAGACGCTATACTCAAGAAGATGATGAATTGAAGCAGATTATTAGTTGCCTCGAACATGGTTGGCCTGCACATATAGACGACAAAAATATTGAACAGTATTCCCACCGTCGGAATTCCCTATCACTTGTGGATGGATGCTTGATGTTTGGAAATCGAGTAATTGTACCCAAAAATTTACGCCGTAAGGTGATGTCACAACTGCATGCCGCACACCCAGGGGTAGCAAGGATGAAGGCACTTGCACGTGGATATGTATATTGGCCGAATATTGACGCTCAGATCAAAGAATATGTTGAGACATGTTCTGCGCGTGCAAAAGCTATCAAAGCCCCTCGTAAGACAGAGATGCAGAGTTGGGGAACACCAACAAATCCATGGTCAAGAGTACACGTAGATTTTGCCGGTCCCATAAACGGAAAACAGTACTTAGTGATGGTTGATGCTTTCTCAAAATGGCCAGAAATTCACTACGTTAAGTCTCTTTCTACAAAAGCTACTATCGAAAAACTGAGACAAGTATTTAGCTGCTTTGGGTGTCCAGATGTATTAGTATCTGATAATGGGCCACAGTTCACCTCCGCTGAATTCTCGAATTTCTGCGTCGCCAACGCTGTTAGGCATATAAAGACACCCCCATATCACCCACAGTCAAACGGTCTAGTTGAGAGGTTCGTAGATACATTTAAAAGAGCACTACTTAAAGCCGAGGGAGAAGGTGAAATAGACGAGATGATTCAAAGATTTCTACAGACATACCGAGCAACACCAAACCCAACAACAAATAATCAAGAAAGCCCAGCAGAAGCAATTTTGGGCAGGAAGATTAGAATACCTATGGAGCAAATGAAACCAAAGCTTAGGGCCAACCTCCGAAAGAACAAACGAATGGAACAGCAATTCAACAAGCGGCACGGTGCATTGCCCAGAAGGTTTAAGGTGGGACAAGCGGTAATGGCAAGAGATTTCACGGGAGTAAAGTCAACTTGGAAGTTTGGCATAATAATACGAAAAAAGGGAAAGTTATCTACGAAGTAAAAGTTGGACAAAAGATATGGGTGAGACATGCAAACCAGATACAACCAACCAGACAAGAACGAGAGACAGAAAATGCTACAAAGTCGAATATACCAATAAATATACTAACTGAGTCGAATAATGAAATTAAAAATGATCCGAATAATAACAAGACGTGTGAAACACTCCCAAGGAGGTCGCAGCGCATCAGACGGAAACCCAATCGAATAAAAATAAATCCTTGGGATAATTATTATCTCTAATGCTTCAAAAAAAGGAGAGGTGTTATATCCGGTGAAGATTAAATTACAGGTAACTTCCGAGGACTATTCATGGACTAATATTCTATAAATATTCTTATTGTATAACTATTCAACAATTACATTATGTATATTTATATCCCTCTTATTATAAGCTTTATTTTGACCTATAATTTATTACTGTACGATTTACGGTTCTTAAGTTATTTTCAGTTTATTAACTACTGCCTCCCTCATTCACAGCCACTTTTTGGGCTTATTTGTGTACAAATATTATTTCCTATTTTATGGTACGTTGCGGTCTGTGTGATTGATATATAAACCAAGTATGTCTGAAATAAACGATCTGCTCTGATTCGGAAGCTGGTATCTTGTTCTGGACTCAAGTGGGAGGGCTCGTAGGACATAGGACCAATAAGGACGCTAAACTGCCCACACCGGTTGAACGTCATTGGTTGGCCTAGTGTGAAGATTCGTATAAGTCGTATTCGGATTGGTAGATAAGTCGTGTGATCGAAAAGTCAGACATCCATGGTCATAACACAGATCTATTCAGTTTGGGGATTTATTTACCGCTACAGAACAATACCCTCCTAGTGTGATATTGACGACCCTAAGACGTGGCCAGCCGGTAGTTCAAACCCAACGAGTTTGTCGTTGGTAAACACACTTCTCATAGCTTGTTAGGTTTAGCAGCGTCTGGTCGTCTTTCCTTACTATAAGGGACCATGAAGTACAATCTAGTAAAAAAAAGAAAAAGTTCAATGGAAATTTCGGTTCTTCGTAAACTTCGTCGTTCTTTTTATCGTCTTTTTTTAGCCGTCCTGATAAAGAAAAAAATAGTTAAGTTCATGTCAAAATACACTCGTATGCGCGTATAAACACAAAGCGGGTGAAAAAATTGAAAAAACTCATACACACATAATAGCGTAAAAAAAGATTTTTATTATAGCATCGATCGCCTCAAAGCAGCGTATTTAAGAGGAAATCCTATCCACGTCGATTTTCCTTCGGTACAATCGCACGACACAACTCCTACACTTATAATACCTCAACTGACAGCCAACACACACGATAATACTTTGGCAGTATCAGAAAATAAACCTTTAACAACGCGTTCTGGAAGAAGAGTTAGATTCCCAGAACATTCGGACGGTCACTTTAGTTCTATAGATATTAAGATGGATCATTGCAAGTTGTGTTCCTCAGTGTCGTCTATTATTAAGTTGTTCTGCCCTTCAATTTCTTAAGAGAATGTAACAAGAGTCTTACGTTTCTGTGACCAAGAGCACACCTAATCTACCCAGGCACGGGACCTAAGGAACAAATAATTAACTAAACCTGCCAAGAAAATTTACGTTGAACATTCTAAATATAGTCAATATTTCAACTAGACGGTTCAAAATAAAACCTGAAAGGATTGGCCTGGTTATTCTAGGAGAAGATGTGTGTTTGCACAATTTATTCAGTATTTCAATTTTTTATTATCACTTGAGTTTGACTATTTTGTGGGAATATTTGACATGACTAGGTCATTTAAGTAGTGATTTTTGAATAAGTCGCACGGTGAATCTGAGTTTCCATCTATCTAGTGAACGTTATTAACGTATGACTCCTTGATGTCGTCTAAGGTTAAAGTTTTTACTCTTGAAGATGTCAGAAAACACAATAAGCCAGATGATCTTTGGATTGTGATTCACGATAAAGTATACGATTTGACAAAGTTCGCGTCTGAGGTAAGACTACATACAATTACATGTTGCAACAGCAATTACTATAGTATGACATATAACTCGAGTCTAGGTTTTACCATACTTACTTTGATAGAAATCTGCTATTCTTTAAGTTGAATGTAGAACATTCTCCATCTCCGGATTTCGGGGAAAGTTTGGGTTTTTCCCGGAAGTCATGTTAAGATTCGTAGTTTAGAAAAACCCGGAAATCCCCCCAGAAGTTTTGGGGATTGTCCCCAAATAACTTTAAATTTTATGGAGAAACCCCAGACTAGGGGAACTTTTGGGGTTTTTGTCTCATTTTCCCAAACCTTCCTCACAATCGGGAGACTGGATTGAAATATGAAGGGTAAGTTCTTATGTATCTCAGTATCTTTAGTTTCTCAAGCTGGCTCCAGAAACCACATGTCGAAATATGGATTTTTTCCTCCGCATAACGATAACAAATAAAGGTGATACTTTTGATCGACCTCAAGTGACTTTGATAATGTCCACCTACTTACTATGGTTAAATGAGAGCTTTAAATTAGTACGAGAAATTAAAGTTTGTAGCTAAGGATTTGGTTTGTGTTTGTTTAAGAATCCCATCCTAGTTTATATATTGGACCGCGGGTTAACTACATTATCTATGTGAAATCTGATAATAACAGTTTCAGTTGGATTTAAACCAGTTTCTTGGTGATATAGTATAGTACCTAATTCACTAGAAAAGCTACTTCATTACAACAGTCCACTCATTTTAGTTGTCCATATGTTACATTTCCAAACATCCTTCCTGTGTTATTGTACTGGTGTAAAACTTCAAAATGCTACACATTTGTAGGTCAGGAGTACTCGATTACAAGTGTCTACAAAGCATTGCCAACGTATTACTCAACCACTGACTTGACAGTGTAGGTTAGCGCATATTACTAGTTTACTATTGTAGCAGACTGGAAAGGTTGTTAACTTTCAACGGAAGTAGGTTGAGGTATATCCTACGCATTAAGCTGCTGCTTACCCCAGTATCTTACATCGATTGTGTAGTTTGTATGGACCTTAAAGCAACTAACTGCGGTGTCAGTTAATGAAGTCATTAAGTGTTAACCCAAATTGTAGTGCTCACTCCTCGATTGGGGTTAACGAGATAACTATTATGTATAGTTGGATACTTGATGTAGCACTTTTCATGACTACAGCTAAAAGACTTCAATTAAGAAACTCCACATCAGTTTTATGAAAAACGTACTCGAAAGCTACAACTGGATCGCCGATGGCTTTTATTCTGAGGTATAATTAATACCATATCAAACTGTTGAGGCAAACGGTTTCTAGTACCCCAATCAGGGAGTCACAATAGAACAACAGGTGCTAATCTTATGCGGCTGTCTTTCGTACCGCGACACTGTCATAAACTGATCAACCACTTTTTACTCAGTCCCAGCATCTCAAATAATGCGTGCTGTAGAAGCAGCTGAGGTAGGAATTCGTAGGACTGTAAATTCATTTGTAATGATGATTGCGAATATCATTTGTATGATTGGTCAGACTCAACTATTCCTTAATATATATGTGTGTGGGTTAGTGTACTGCCTGAATTCACGGGCTAAAGCTATTGGTTTCTTTAAAGTGTCATTCCCCAAACCTTCGACCAAAGGTTAGTTATAGTAAGGTAGGTATACCCGTTTTTTAGCCTCCCCAAGCCCTCAATACAAGGTTATCCTGTGATTAAAACACCAGCTTCGGTGGCCTAAATATTCGTTACGAATGTCATCCCAGAGACTTTCACTTCGTGCACCAGTTATTGACTCTGGGACTAAGTGTAAAATGCAGAGAGCTGGACAGGTTATGACATAGCACTATTCTGTGAAGGATAGCTGTATGCGATTGGCATCTTCCAGTTCATACGAAATTCTGGCTAAAGTTTTAGTTATGGACCACCCAGCCATTTGAGACATGGCTCACAATAGAAACCAGTAAAGACCCACAGCTTTTTATATTTTTCGTAAAAGTGGGAGAAAATCTTGACTGACAACAGCGTTTCTGGTCATACTTCTTATCTGACTGTATGTCCTTTCATTTACTCTTCTCATCCACTTGTTTTGTCCATTTATTTTTGGTTGTTTTCCCCTACCGCCATCGATCACTTCACAGTTTGGTTTTTTATTTTTTTTGGCACCAAGTTGTACTGTAAATAAAATAAGTTCTATGCTTCCCGTTTGTTTCCTTTAGTAACTTTTATCTTTAGCTATCCATTATCGCTTGTATTATTACTTTCAAGCATTCGGTTTTCCTTTTGATTGCTGTGTATGTTTATGTAATGCATATCAATATTAACCGATTAAGGCTTACGCCATTTCGTGCATTTATCTATCTAGCTATCTGTTTCTACAGAATTTATACTATATTTACATTTAGCATCCAGGGGGTGAAACTGTATTAGAACAACAAGCGGGAGATTATGGTACCGAACCATTTGAAGATGTAGGACACTCATCAGATGCTCGCGAAATTATGGAGCAGTACTATATAGGCGATATAGCACCTGTACGTTTGTTTTTGATTGTTTAATTTGTTTTTACTTTCAGGCCGACCGTGAACGAAAAAGTAAATTCACCTCTTCATTCACACTAAAGAAAGTAGATAATTTTAGGTAACATTTCTTCAAATTAATGATAATTTTTTCCATGAATTTTGTTTTAATTGTATTCTGACGTATTATTAACCAGTAATTTTTACCAAAATCTGCGGTCCTTCACAGATATATTCGAAATATAATACAACCCCTTATTTAAGAACGGATGTAACTGCTTAGCATTGAATGTTTCATATCTTCAGATCCACTTTATCGGTCCACTCATCTTTTTTATTCTGGGAAATACAATTGCCACGCTAAAAATGAATTCGGCGTTATTTGTTTGGGGGTGTGTTCTCAATACACATCTTAGCAAATACCTTTTAGTTGTTCTCAATATCTAGGACTTCAAAGGAACACAATTAAAAGTCAAATTAGCTCTGTTTAATTTGTGATCCCTCTGTTTTACTGGCGTTTAGATTTACTGTGACCATGCAACTTCATTCTCCGTACTTATTCTTACTCTTATTTGCGACTCTACTTTTTCGAATGTTGCACTATGGCTGTAAAGTAAATATACATTTTAACACATTGATGTCATTCAGTTGTTTTCAATTTCATAGATTACTTTTTAACTAAGCACCAATGCTATCTGGGATTAAGTTATGATATACCGAACAATTATTGTGGCTGATAACTAATCACATAACCGTTAGTAAGTTAAACATGTGAACTTGTATGTAAGTTGATCTATTTTAGTTGATGAGGTCATAAATCTGCTTTGATTTAAATAGTCAGACATATACTTTAAAATTTTATAGAAGTCAACTTAAGTGCTTATTATATATACTACCGTTTAACAGCTTTTCCAAAATCATAAGTTATGATTTTCGAGTAAATGTAGTAATCGTCAAAATTATATTGTTATTCAAAATATAAAGTCCTCTTCAAATGATCTCTTGCTGTTGTAATTTTACAAGTTATATGGATAAAGATAGCACGTGCATTAAAATACTGGAAATTCCATATATGGATTAATCACTGAATTCCTTAAATTTCTATTCCTAAAAATATAGAGATGATGGAATTTAATTGAATAATGACATAATCATTTACTTGCACTGGTATACCTTGCCATTTGATAATACCGTAGTAAAAGCGTAAGTCATTATCATAAAGCACATCTTTCAAAAATTATCGGGCAATGTAGCTTTCACTAATTTCTCCAGTGTTGTCTCACTCAGTTGTTTCATAATACATTACAATTAATTGAATAATAGTCAGATTCGTAGAAAATAATAGTTCCAAAAGATTGACTGATATTCTTATTGCAATCTTTCTTTTATATATTATCACAAGTGAATTAACTACTTTTATGAATCCGGTGTCCATCTTGTCGTGTGAATGAGGTCAGTCAGTCAGTAACAACGTAGAACTTCGTACGTACGTACATCAGTTCGAGTTGCCACACCACATTAGCACAGAGATGCAGTTGTCGATTCAAATCCCATAGTGGTAGAGGTAATAAGAGTATAAGCAGTAATCGGGAAGATTAGGGTTTGGAGATGTTATTTAAAGAGTATAATACAGTGAAATAAATTTGGAAAGAGGAAAAAAGGGACATGAAGAATTCAGAAGATTAGAATTTGAGAGAACACAGAGAGTGGATGCACCTGCGCCATTGCAAACGATTTTGAGCCATGTCATTCAGGGTCTCTAACCATCGGTTGCTATCATTTCGCGGTCCCCAACCAGGTAGTCTACATCTACCAACATGACTCAGTTCACTTGTCAGTGACTTCATGGACTTGTGCCATGTCTTGGTTTGGCCGCTCCTAGCTTTTTTCCAACCTACTCCTATACCACTGAACATAGCACGTCGGGGCAGTCGGTCGTTGGGCATACGTAACACGTGTCCCAGCCATCTCAACTGATGAAGTTTCACTACTTCATCAATTGATTTGCCATCCTTACCTAGTACCCGTTTCCTAACAACTGTGTTACTTACTCGATGGTCCCATGATATACGAGCAATGTTTCGAAGACACCTATGATCAAATACTAGTAGCCTACGGATATCCTCTACTCTTACCGGCCATGTTTCACTGCCATAAAGTAGGACGGAACGAACTGCTGCGCAGTAAACACGTCCCTTGGTTGATAGACGGATATCTCGCCTACACCATAAATGACTCAAGTTGGCAAAAGCTAGTCGAGCCTTCTGTATCCGTGCTGAGATTTCGTCACACACTAAACCACAAGGGCTGATGAGACTTCCAAGATAAGTGAAGCGGTCGACACACTCAACTACTTCACTCCCTATCACTAGTTCGGGTGTCGATGTAACCCAATCCTGAAGCAACATTTTGCATTTCGAGGGGGAGAATCTCATCCCGAACATGCTTGCATTGTTGCTTAGAGTGGTCAGAAGACTGCATTTTGTCAGCGTCTTCACCAAATAAAACTATGTCATCTGCATATTCTAAGTCAACAAGTGAACCTCCCGGTAGAAGTTCAACCCCTGGAAATCTAGACGAGGAAAGTGTTATCTCTAAAAGTACGTCGACCACAAAGTTGAACAAGAATGGGGAGAGTGGACAGCCCTGACGAACACCACTTGAGGTAATTAATTCTGATGACAGTTCACCATAAGCTCTTACTCTACCAGTTGTGTTCGAGTAGAGAGCCTTTATAAGGTTAATGTACTTCTTTGGTACTCCTTTCAGTGACAAACACTGCCATAGAACCTCACGATCAACAGAGTCGAATGCCGCCTTAAGGTCGAGAAATACTACCATTGTGGGGCGTCTGAATGTGTGTCTGTGTTCTAGAACCTGACGTAGTGTGAATATCTGGTCTATACAACCACGTCCAGTTCGAAAACCAGCCTGGTTTTCTCTAATCTGCTCTTCACGAGCTTTGGTTAGGCGTCGAAGTATTATTGAAGCTAATATTTTAGACACTATATTAGTCAAACTGATTCCTCTGTGATTGTCACAAGAGGACTTTTGTCCTTTCTTATAGACTGGCACAATCAGTGATTGAGACCAGTCAGATGGGATTACGTCCAGTTCCCAAATTCTACCTAAGATCTCGGTTAATCTCATTGCTAATATTGGACCACCATCCTTAAAAATCTCAGGAGTAAACCTGTCAGGGCCTGCTGCTCTCCCTCGTTTCAGATTTCCTATGGCTTTTTCAACTTCGTAAAGGGACGGAGGACCTACATTAACTTGCCATTCAGGTTGACTAGAGATCGTGGGAAACCGAAGTGTGGCTGAAGGCCAGTTGAACTGGTCCCTAAAGTGTTCTGCCCATCGATCCAATCTCCTGGATTGAGAATGAATAATATGTCCATCTTTCTCTAAGATTGTTTCGCTAACAGTCGGGTTCCTAATTCCGGTTTCCCTAACGAGTCTGAACAATTGTCTGCTATTACCTATTGCCGCTGCCTTTTCCATCTATCTTGCTTTTGCTACCCACCACTGTTCGCGATCATTGTGTAGACTTCTTGTCAGCCTGCGCTTAAGCTGACTCCACTCTTCGTTATGTTCAGAGCCAGGTGGAATGAGTTTCCGAGCATCTATCAGTGAGATAGATGCTGCTGAGATCCAGTGTTGCTCCCTAACCTTCTGGTTTACCTTACTAGCAGATATCACTGCTGTTTCCACAGCTTTTCGGATATCATTCCATGCTGCATCGGGGCGGGCATCACATACATGGCTGCCTAACTGTTTTCCTAGTTGTTCCTGAAATATACTCTTAGCTTGACTATCATTAAGTAGGCTCCTAAGAGGTTTCCTTGCAGCGTCTTTCCTACGTCCAGTAAGACGCAAGCAAATACGCGCTCACACTAGAGCATGATCTGAATCTAGGCATGTGCTCCAGAATGAGCGACAGTCTTCTATCGAGCCCCTCCATCGGTGGCTGATAGCGATGTGATCTATTTGGGTCCAACGTTGGGACGAATTAGGGGGTCGCCATGTTAAAAGATGTTTTTCCTTATGCTTAAAGTTAGTATTTGCAAAGAACAGGCGGTTATCTGAGCATAGCTGCAACAGACGGTCGCCATTATCTGTTCTTTGAGCCACGACACTATAAGATCCACCTAGGTGTCTTTCCCTATCGCTTAGTTTACCTACTTGAGCATTGAAGTCACCGGCCACTATTACTACATCCGAGCGCTTAGCTTTTCGGAGAAGGTCCGAAAGCTTTTTGTAGAACTCATCTTTTACATCATCTGAGCTGCAGTCAGTGGGAGAATAGGCAGAGACGACGAAGAGGCAACGACGAGTGTCCCTATCTTTACGGATTCTTACTGTTCCGTTCAGTCGGACGGCGCACAAAAACGACTGTCTACTGGGATCCACTTTAAGAGAGCTAGTTCTGCCCTAGGACTCAATGCTATACCTACACCGGCGAGGCCACGGGAAGCAGGATCAGGGCTTCCAGATACACGAAGCGTAAATCGAGTCGGTTCTTTATTTTGGCATGGTGAGGTCAAATGAATGACGCTACTTGGATCCTGTATGCGCGTTTCGCAGACGCAGCACACATCGATGGCGCGAGATTCTAAAGTTTTAGCTAAGGAAGCCTGCTGTCCTATTTGGCAAAGTGTTCGTACGTTAAAAGCTCCAACGTGTAGTTTAGAGCGTGGTTTCAGGAGAGCAGGAATGGCGTTCCACGTACTCGAATCGTTTGCCCTAGCGGTGCGAGGTGATAAAGAGACGTGGGGAGTGTTAGTCGGGGAGATAAGAGAGGTATTAGAAGGTGTAGGAAGGATTTGAATGTGACCAATTTGGTCTCTTGTGCTGTTACGGGTATGAGGGCTGATATCACTTCCCGGCTGCCCACACCGTGGAAGGGTATTTCTTGAGGAACCTGAAAAGGAAATTGGATTAGTGTTGGTCTTGACGACCTGGGAGCGTGACTGCAGAGCCCAAGGGACAACTGCTTGAGGCCGGTCGCGCACGGCCTTTTTGTGGAAGGTTTTTGACGTGTTAGCTCCGTTCTTCAAAGGGCCTTACCACCGGAGACGGAAATCCGTGAGGTAAGGTGAGGTGTGACATTTTTAGGGT